AGTCCTTGACTTATGACCACAATTGAACCCAAAATTTCTGTTGCTAAGTGAGACAGTTGTTAAGTGAATTTTATCCCATTTTACGATGTTCCTTGCCACACTTGTTAAGTGAATCATTGCAGTTGTTAAGTTAGTAATATGGTTGTTAAGTGAATCTGGCTTCCCCATTGACTTTGCTTGTCAGAAGGTTGCAAAGGGGATCACCTGATCCCAGGATACTACAACTATCATAAATGTGAGTCAGTTGCCAAGCATCCAAATTTTGACCACGTGACTGTGTGGATGCTGCAATAGTTGTAAGTGTGAAAAACAATCATAAGTCACATTTTTAGTCCTGTTGTAACTTTGAACAGTCACTAAATGAACTGTTGTAAATTGAGGACTGTCTGTAAATACTATGTATAAAGTTGGTTCTCAACTTACGGTTCACTTAGTGACAGTTCAAAGTTACAACAGGACTGAAAAAAGTGACTTATGATCTTTTTTCATACTTACAACCGTTGCAGCATCCCCATGGTCCTGTGATCAAAATTCAGATGTTTGGCAACTGGTTCGTATTTATGACAATTGCTGGGTCCTACAGTTATGTGATCACTTTTTATAACCTCTGACAAAGTCAATAGGAAAGCCAGATTCATCTAACAACCATGTTACTAACTTAACAACTACAGTGATTCACTTAACAATCATGGCAAAAAAAGTCATAAAATGGGGCAAAGTTCACTTAACAAATGTCTCATTTAACAACAGAAATTTTGGACTCAAATTTTGGACTGTGTTCATAAGTCAAGGCCTACCTGTAGTATAGCAATAACGATAGCACTTAGACTTATATATTGCTTCATAGTGTTTTACAGCCCTCTCTAAGCAGTTTACAGAGTCAGCATATGGCCCCCAACAATTTGGGTCCTCATTTTAGTCACACACACACACACACACACACACACACACACACACACACACACACTTAAAATCAATATAACTCAATCATTATATTGCCACCAGAAAGGGGAAAGTTGAGCTAAATTACTAGAAATATGAAGTCCAAATCCTGACTTAATGATGAAGCTTACTGGACAGAGGTACACATAACCGTTTCTCACAGTCCCACTGACTCAGTGCTGTACAATTAAACTCCTCAACAAAAGATTTTTTTTGTATGTAGCAAACAACAAAGCAAATTATGGGGGGGGGTGAATTGTGTGTTATTCACTGATTTTAGGTGGTTGAGAAAAGAATGGCTGAACATACTTCCTAGCTATATTTGAAAGTCTGAGAAAATATTTACAGCTTGTAAAAAGTTCACTATGTTCTAATGTATTAATATTTTTGGCTTTCTATCAACTTTCCAGAACATTTTTTTTCATCTTGCAGTGGCTGTATAAAACATTTCAACAACAACAAATGAAGCCAACTGTCTTTTTCATTTAAAGAGTCCACTATCCATCTTCTTAAAAGCAGTTTTCTATTGAGAACACAGCAATGGACTGATTTATACTGTGAGGCTTTTACTCAGTGTATAAGTAAATGCAACACGAAATGTAAGCAGGCTTCATTTAAACCAGGGGTGGAGAACTACGTCTCTTATATAATCTGTATGGCTGGCTCAGGAATTCTGGAAGTTGAAGTTCACAGATCATACAAAGGCTATAGTTCTCCACCCCTGGTTTAAACAGTGACAGTTCTCATTCATTATTAATCCTATCTTAATCTTAAAGTTGAGCTACTGTGTCTTTATGACATCTGCTTATTTGAAGTAAACAGAAATTTAATAAAATTCAGCCAATCATAGAAAAGTAAGAAGTGAATGATGGAATAAAAAAAGTTTTGTAAGCAATAGAATCTTAATTGGCATGACAGAAAGGTGTTTGTGAGTTATAAAGTTAAATGATAGAATGTAGCATTTGAATTATTCTTTTGAATTTGCCATATCATTTCTACATGGCAGAAAATGTGATAACTCTGCACAGATAAATAAGCAATAAAAGTTTTAAATCTGCCGGGCCAAATGCTTTACCAGGGGTTCTCAATCTTGGCAACTTTAAGACTTGTGGACTTCAACTCCCTGGGAGTTGAAGTCCACAAGTCTTAAAGTTGCCAAGGTTGAGAACCCCTGCTTTTAATCCATTAAAACAATACAAGGTAATGTTCTGAAATAGTTGGTCACAAGCAGGACCTTATCTGTTCTGCTGTGGTCTCATAAAAACTGTCTTTAGAAAAACACAATACAAAATAAAATCAGCAAGTTAAAACATTAAAACAATAACACAGAACAGAAGCATTACAATTTAAGAATCAACGTAGGATCAGTATATTATTTTTTAAAAATATGGGAACATGTCACAGCATGCAATCAAAGCTTTTATATGATTTCTACCTGGGCTGGATCCTGGACTAATTGGAAAAGACCTTGTCTATGGAGATACTCAGTAATTCAGGTCATAGTTATCCCAAGGATGCTTTTTCATGAGGCAACTGGACTTGTTTGTTTTTTCTTTGAAGATGTTTTGCTTCTCATCCAAGAAGCTTCTTCAGCTCTCATTGAATGGTGGGGAATGGAAGGATTTATACTCCTTACAGACAGCTGGTCATTTGCATTCTTTTAGAGAATCGTTGAGGCCACTTGGAGGTTTATCTAGGTCCTCAGGGTCACATGAGCAGTGCAAATGGGTATGGAGATTTCTTGGAACTGCTGAAAGGACTGTGTTATAGACGGGAGATAGATTAGGGGTGTCAAACTGGCAGCCTGTAGACCGGATTCGTCATGCACAGGCCATACCCACCTTGGCTCCGCAAAGGCAAAAAACATTATGATACGTCATGATACATCAAATGACGCAATCGAGTTTGATACCCCTGAGATAGATGATATCATATTCCTCCCCCTCTGTTGAGAGAGGGCTGCTCATTTTTGACATAGATGGCCTCTTTGACCCCTCTTTCAAACTAGTGGTCTTCTCTGTCCAAAATGTGAACTTTGCTGTCTTCAAAAGAGTGCCCTTTGTCTTTTAAATGCAGATGGACTACTGAATCTTGTCCTGATGGGTTTGTTTTCTTATGTTGTGCCATGTTTATGAAGTGGTTGTTTCAAAACTGAAACAACCTCTCTCAACAACTCTAAAAGAATACAAATGACCAGCTGCCTGCAAGGATTATAAATCCTTCCATTCCCCACCATCTAGTCAGAGCTGAAGAAGTTTCTTGGATGAAAAGGGAAACTTCTTCAAAGAAAACACAAGAAAATCCAATTGCCTCATGAAAAAGCATATTTGGAAAAGATCTTGATGTTGGGAAAGACTGAAAGCAAAAGGAGAAGGGAAAGGGAGAGGATGAGACAGTTGGATAGTGTCATCAATGCAATGAACATAAGTTTAAACAAATTCCAGGAGATATTGAAGCACAGGGGAGCCCAGCATGCTATGGTCCATGGGGTCGCAAAGAGTTGGATACAACTTAGTGACTGAACAACAACCTGTAAGCTAATCCATTATTAGTGTTTCACCTGTTCATAGAAAAGCATTGGAAATAGAGATTTATTAAAGACTCTAACCAATGTCATAAGTTATAAATCAGTCACAAGAGTTCAGTTGCAGAAATTGTTATACCCATATCCCTTCCACTTTAACGTTTCCTCTTTGGTCTCCTTAAAATGCCTAACATTATACAAGAGAGGCAAAAATATTTTCTACAGGAAGCATTCAACTGGTTGAAAAAACTGGTTGCTTTTCTAGGACAATCTTCTCCAACTGAATGCTTTCTCTGTAAAATTGTTGTGGTCCCAAAATGTATAGCCACCTAAGCTTCATAGAATCAAGATCACGTGAAATGGTAATACAACTTTACAATGCCTTGGTAAGGCCACACTTGGAATAATGCATCCAGTTTTGGTCATCATGATATAAAAAAGATGTTGAGACTCTACAAAGAGTACAGAGAAGAACAAAAAAATGATTAGGGACTGGAGGCTAAAACATATAAAGAACAGTTGCTGCAATTGGGTATGTCTAGTTTAATGAAGAGAAAGAAGAGGGGTGACATGATAACAGCGTTTCAATATCTCAGGGGCTGCCACAAAGAAGAGGGAGTCAAACTATTCTCCAAAGCACCTGAAGGCAGGACAAGAAGCAATAGACAGAAACTAATCAAAGAGAGAAGCAACCTAGAATTAAGGAGAAATTTCCTGACAGTTAGAACAATTAATCAATGGAACAACCTGCCTCCAGAAGTTGTAAATGCTCCAACACTGGAAGTTATTAAGAAGAGACTGGACATCCATTTGTCTGAAATGGTATAGGATTTCCTGCCTGAGCAGGGAGTTGGACTAGAAGACCTCCAAGGTACCTTCCAACTATTATTATTATTATTATTATTATTATTATTATTATTATTATTATTATTATTATTGTTTGAACCAGGATAAGAGACCACCTAGAAATCTCTTGGGTAAAGATGAGGCTGGGAAGTTGAAAAAGAACATCCCAAGAGAAGCATTTGCAAGAAAAACTACTTCTGTGAAGCCACTAGAAGTCCAGCTCAAAAATAAATAAATAAATAAATCAACAACCAAATCCAATCTTGCTCTAGGTCGGTGTTTTTCTAACTTGGCAACTTTGAGATGTATACTGTAGACTTCAACACGAGAATTCCCTAGCCGGCATGCTTCTTGGGGAATTGACCGGATTGATCATAGCTTGTTAAATGAATCACAATTGCCAGAGGGTCTCTGGATCCATTCAGGACGACAAGATGGGAGACAAGCAGCCCTGGACAAAATCTTTGTCTGTCTGTCTGTCTGTCTGTCTGTCTCTCTCTCTCTCTCTCTCTCTCACACACACACACACACACACACACACCATGTTCGCACCCTTATCCCATGCGTGAAGACAGGACCCTGCCCTCCCTGAGCGACTTCATCCCTCCAGCCATCCTTGGCAGAAGCACCGGCCTCCCCCTTCCCTCCCTCTGCGTTGCCCGGCCGTCGCCTGGCAACGGAAGCCGCCGCAGCAGCAAGCCGGGCACCGCGTCTAGTCGCTGCCTTGTGCCTCGCCGGCTTGTGGCTGGACCGGACCCCAACAGGGCATTTGTTTTCCTCCTGGCCGGAGACGTCGGCTAGTTCGAGAAAGCATCTGCGATGTCTCAGAAAAACAAGCTCAACTTCGTGGCTGAAGCTCAGATCTGGTAAAACCGCCGCTGGACAACCTCCAACCTCCCAAAAAAAAAAATCCCCCGATGTTCTGCTATGTGGGTGGCTATAGGAAGTCTGCCCCATTTAGCTTAACTTACCCTAAATCCTTTCCGGGCCCCACCCCGCTTCGGAATTGCTCCAAAACAGAGGCTATTAACGACCTTTCCCTAGTTTTAATCTTCATGTGTGGACTTCAACTCCCAGAATTCCCAAGACTGCACACTCATTGCTAAAATTTTGGGGAATTGAAGCCCAGAGGGTGTCAACGGTGGGGCAAAGTATTCTGAGGTAGCAAATGATTTCCAGGTGTGTTGATTATGAGAATTGAAGTCCAACATATTTGAGGACAACCTCTTGAGGAACAGCTTGGAAGCCTTCTCCCACCACAGTGGAAGTCTCCAAGTTCTAGATGTTTACTCAGGCACCCAGGTAATTCCAGTGTATCCCTCTCCATGTTTATTCTAATTCCCTTGTGGTTAATTTGTATTGGGCTGAGATGTGAGAAGACACCACGTGTCTGAAAGAGGATGGTGAAAGAGAATAAGGTTTTAATGCAGACTGAGAAATAAGTATTCCAATGTCTTCTTAGACTTCCCAGAAAGTTGATGCCACCAATATAAATACTAATCTTCTCCAAAATGGCACCTTTCAGAGGTGCTGGCTGCAGATTAGGGAAGTTCAAGTTTAGTTATGCTCCATACCAAATCTGACCATCTAGGATTCACAGAATTTCCCAAAGCCACAGAATATATGTACAGACATCAATGCATACACTCATGTCCTTTCTCACAAAAATCTGGGTGGCTTTTCAAGGAAAAGGGCAAAGTGCTTGAATATGACAAAGTTTTGTAATATTGCTCTAGCAGTGTCAGTTTTATGGCACAAAAGTATAGTTATCACAAGAGGCAAAAAGCTGCTTTTAAAACTGTCAGTATTTCACAGGGACAGCAAAATTCAAAAGTTTACTCTACCTTCAAGATTCTAGCCTCAATGTTTTAAGAGCTCTTGTCATAGTTTCTTTCTTTCTTTTAAATCTCAAAAGGCAACAATCTAAAATTTTAGGAAATTCATCAAGGAGAGAAGCAACCTAGAACTAAGGAGAAAGTTCCTAACAGAATAATTAATCAGTGGAACAACCTGCCTCCAGAAGTTGTGAATGCTCCAACACTGGAGTTTTTTTAGAAGAGATTAGACAACCATTTGTCTGAAGTGGTATAGGCCATAGGGCTTATTGCTTGAACAGGGGGTTGTATTAGTAACTAGAAGATTTCCAAGGTCCCTTCCAACTGTGTTGTTCTGTTCTGTTCTTAGCAAGAAGGCCACCCAATTTGAACTTTCTTTTCTTTTGAGCAATTGTACTGAAGAGAAATAAATTTAAAAGCCTGGGATATTAGAAGTTCTTCTTTTTTCACTTTCTAAATGATTCACCAATTGTTTTCTACTAGTATATAAATATGTTTGCTCAAGAATGCACTTCTATGCAAAGGATGGCATAAAAATTGGATGAACAATGTAGCTTGTACCTGAGAAAACATGATATTTCTCTCCATTGCCTCTAACTACAGCTACTTTTTTTGAATCTGGTATCCTCCACTTATTTGATCCTCTGTAGAGCAGGGGTATCAAACTGCCGACCCCGTAGGCCAGTTGCATCATGAGGAGGCCGCACCCACCCCAGCTCTGGCAATGCGAAAAAAGTCGCGATACGTCACGATACATCATGTGACGTGGTGAGTTTGACACCTGTGCTATAGAGCAGCATTTCTCAACCTTGACAGCTTTAAGTTGTGACCTTCAACTCCAACAATTGCTCATAGAACCATGCTGGCTGGGGAATTCTGAGAGCTGAAGTCAACAGATCTTAAACTTGCCAACATTGAGAAACACTGCTATAGAATAGTTTAATGATAACTATAAATTAGTAATTTTAAAGAGCACAATTCACAAATGTTTTTTGGTCTATTTAATATTTTTATTGATAATTGAAGATACCGTTTTTGATATGTTGCTTGGTGAGAACTGATAATCACTACCATTTTTTCAGGATTTTTGTATCCTACTGTATGCTACATGAGACATGGGTGTGTTTGGGACAGATAATGTAGCCAACAGGTAAAAGGCATTATGTAAAAGTCTTAATTGTCCCAAATCATGAGGGGCAATAGAGATCAGTATCCATGGGTCTCTCTGATGACAACCATGGTATATGGAAGATTGTAACTAGAAATGTAGAAAAAGTATGTGGTGAATAGTATGAATTAAAGGAAATGAGACAAAGGAAATAGTTTCAGAAAAACATATTTCTAAGAGAAAGAGGAAGGAAAAATGTGAATGTGGTTTGATCTTGTGGGATCCAAACAAACAATAATAGGAAATGTATTGAAGCTATAAGATTAATTAAGAGTGAATCAACTAAATGATGTCAGGAAGTATGAATTAACATCATCTATATTGTTAGGAGTATAGATAGAAGTAGAAGTTTATAGATTGAATAATGGTAATGAAAATAACAAGGAACGGTTTATGGAAAAATATGCCACATTCTATAGTAATGGGATCCAGAAGAAAAAAATAATTTGGTTGATGAGTGGAAACAAGATGAGGAAGTTTTTTTAAAAAGTCATGGGTGAGTATCTACTTTAAAAAAGTAGTACTAAGGTTTCACACAGAACTCCATTCTTAGAAAAAGGTCTCTTTTAATTACATAGTTTAAGTAAATTCTGTTCTTGTGTGCACTTGGCAAAGGAAGAAGTCTAAATCTGAAAGCATGATTAATTTGAACTTTGTGATGACTGGCTGAGAGAATTAATAAAGGATATAAGGATGGTGAAAGGTTATGAATGTACCGTAGGACCGACTCTACTCTGGTAGAGTATATGTTGGGAGGAAATGGACATAGAAGAAAAAGAAGGAAGGGAAAGAAATGAGGAAAAAAGTAGAAAGGTTGTGGGAAGAGAAAATATGTTTGAAAAACTATTAGAATATAAATATATGGATTGACTGGAATAGATGTCTCTTCCAATTAAACAAATGGAAAGTGGATATAAAGAATGTTGATATGGATACTACCAGAAAACTATATGGAAAGAGCCTGGTAGGAAGTATGAAAAAAGAATAGTGGAAATGATATAATGGAAGAGGCTGAAAGAGAGGGAAAATATGCATAAGAGAATGTTGCAAAAACATTAGGGTCACTACAACTATTGTACATGGTATGTACACAATCTATATACTATGAGTACATAGAGAAGAAGGGTGTTTATTTGTTAAATTTATATAATTTATCCAAATTGCAAGAAGAGCTGTGTGCAATTTACAATAAAAATATAAAACAAGGAATTAAAAGTAAAGATATAAACAAAAGCCAGACAGAATGAACAAAATAATAATAGCACCTGAGATATATCTCATTCAAGGGTTTTATGCACTATAGAAAGTCATCTAACATTGTGGTCCAATGCTTGGGGGAATGTTCCCTGGGTTTTCCAGAGAGGCCGAAGAGTTGGGACTGTCTGAATCTTGGGGGAATGATATCCCATAGGGGAGGCACAGTGACAAAGAGGATACACCCCTGAGTCTCACTGAATGACATTGTTTCATGAAAGTCATCTGAAGCATGACTGCTGTGCTGAATTTAATGGGACAAGCAGACACTTGGAGGCAGCCAGTCCCAGGTAACCCAGCCTTGTGCCACGAAAGGCTTTAAGAAGGATAACCAAAACCCTTAAAATGCACCTGGAAGTTTGTAGAGAGCCAGAAGGTGTTAAAAGCAGAAAGACACTTGAGCCCTGGAGATCCTCCACAATGCAGGAGCCTTAGGCTAGATCTCTCATACCAACTGGGAGCAGCCATGGAGGAAGAAAGAAAACCAATGTAGCACTCTATTTTTAAACCTTAAAACTGGTTCAGAAGATAGATTTGCATAGAACAGAGTCAAAGACAAGAAGCAAAGTTTAAAAGTGGCAAAGAAAATGCAACGTGAGTCTGATGGAAATATAACATAGTTTTGCAAGTTTTCAGAGTGTAAAGGAACCTCCAAAAGAATGAAGGTAATTGAGACTAAAAGTGATTCAATTATTTGGGATGAAACTAAAGTAAAGGAATTTTGGAAGTATTTCAGAGATCATCTTCATATCTCCCTAATTTAGCACAAACATGGTCCTGTAATTCTTTTTTCTTCTGCTTGTACTCATGACATGTCCTTCATCTCGTCCCTAGCCCATAAATTTAACTAGATTTCCTTTTCTTTTCTTATCTCCTGACATTAACTTCTTTTTTCCACTACTTGCTTACTCCAAAAAGGAATTGTGTGATGAATACCTGGAATATTGTAAATGTATCATCACCAACATAATGTGCCCAGCTGTGCCATTTAAACAACTGTTTGGGGTTGTTGTTGTTTTAACACGCTGGTAAAATATAGTCTGGAGCATTCCCCCTGTGCATGGCCACCACTGCAAATCAAGTTTAGGTCAACAGCATCCCACAGTCACATGATGAAAAAAACAGCATGTATTTACAATGGATGCAACATTCCCAGGGTCATGTGATTAGCCATCTGAGACCTTCCCAGACAAGCAACTGCAGTGATTCACTTAACAACCAGGGCAAAAAAAGTGGTAAAATTGGGTGCGACTCATTGAACAACTGCCTTACTTAGAAACAGAAATTCTGGTTCGAATTGTGGTTATAAATTGAGAACTTCCTGTACACAATACAAAATACATGTAATCATGTAGTTGTCAAGTGCAGGAAAATATACAAGTTTATTGTATACTAAAGCTCTCTACAAGAATCTGAACTACTAACGGTCAACCCAAATTGGCGGTAGATAAGAGTCAGCGGAAATCAAGGTGGGCTGGACTTGGATTTGTGAGCGCAAAGGGATTCAAGACTGAGAACACATTTGACACCCAACCCCACCCCCTCGGGCTCAGCTTGGTCATCTCCCGCAGTATTTTTGTGGCTTTGCTTAATTTTTAAAAGCAATCTTTGTTACTTCAGGAGCATGTTCCTATCAGAAGATGAGCAAACACTTTCCATCCTGTCTGTGAAAAAAAATATAGGCTAGGAAAACTGCAATTCTTTTTCTCGTGCATCCCACAAATCCATTCACTGAATCCATTATCTGGCTGCTAAGTTGGAACTATCTTGAGTGCAACTCTAAGCATTTTAAAAAACAATGTTTTTCTTACATCTGGACCCTAATCCTTTATCAGGAGCAGGTGGGAAAGAAATTACTCTGAAATACATGAAAGAATTTCTTCAATAAATTAGGTAATGAATAGTAACCATTCAGTAATAATTATTATTGATTTATTTTATCAGCTTCCTTCATGCTCTCTCATATTTGAAAGAGAGAAGAAAATACTCTGCTGGCTGGGGAATTCTGGGAATTGAAGTCCATACTTCTTAAAGTTGCCAAGTTTGAAAAGCACTGCTCTAAGTCAGGGGTGTCAAACTGCCGGCCTGCGGGCCGGATGCATCATAACGAAACCGCGCCCACCCCATTGCTGGCATTGACAAAAAAAGTCACGATACGTCGCAACATGTCACATGACGTTGCGAGTTTGACACCCCTGCTCTAAGTGAATCAAGAGAAAGAGGAGCAAAATAACACTTGCTTCTGATGTCGTGTTTTCTAAAATACTATTCAAACTGCAGTCGAAGCTGCTTTTGCAGCATCACTCAAGCAAAGTGATATAAATTTAAGGCAAAAGCGTGACTCCAAATTGGATTCTAGGTCAAGAAGTTAACCCACTTCAGATGAAAAGGTTACAATCTGCTAATCGCTTACTTCAAAATGTTTCATGCAACTGCTTTAAATTTAATAACCTGTGAATTGCTGCAACGAGGCACACATGGGCAAAGAAAAAGTATTTTAATAAAACTGGCAAGACTTCTTTCTATATATGCTTCTCTCTTCGCCCATCACAATGATGTATTTTGAGAATAATGAGCAAATTGACTTAATCTACTGAATTCTTCTCAAGGACTGGGGGGGGGGAGTTTTCACCTTACATTGATTCACAGTTTGCTAAAGGATAGAACAAACTTGAAATCTATGTGCCTGCAGCAATTTGCACATTGTTTATCAAATGTATAGAATTATTTCCAAAAATGATCCTTCTATCTAGATATCTACAGTACAGCATGCAAGTATAGTCTCGAAGTTAGAAACCAATAAATTTTGAGGCTCTACATGTCCAGGTCGGAGGGATGCAGTGTAAAGGGCTTTGTTAGGTGACTTTGTCAAGTTTTACAAACACTTTTTTTTTCTTGGTTTAGGAAGACTCACATTGAAACAGAGCGTGAAGCTGCCCGAAAATGGCCCAAGCGCTGGGGATTTCTGTTGACCCCACTTGAAGAGGTAACATTTCCTTCTGTGCAATATTCATATATGAAGAATGGACATATTTCATAACCTGTGTTGAACAGCAATTGGGATGCTTACACTAGTACAAGGGTGTCAAACTGCCGGCCCACGGGCCGGATGCGTCACTCCAAAACCATGCCCACCCCATTGCCAGCAATGGGAAAAAAGTCACAATACATCACGACACGTCACATGACATCGTGAGTTTGACACCCGTGCACTAGAAGAATGTGAGAAGATGTTATTGCATTTTTTTAAAGGAATATTCTCACAGCCTTAGCAAACGGCCTCAAGGTGGTTGGGGCAATTAATTAGCAACTGAAATAATTTGTTCTGCAAGGAAATAAAAGGGAGGTGTGGGATTTAACTGCATGACTTGAGTGATAAGACTAGTCACTTTGTACGCCAATCCTAGCTATATCTGTATATTACTGAACATCAAAAGAAGCCTGACAGCAGCATTCCAGACTGATAAATGTTGTTAATAAATTAATAATAAATTTTAGCAACATCTGTTAGTGGGATGGAATGTTATCCAGATTCCCAGGAAGGAGGGAATATTCCAGAGGAGGAAGAGACAATTTACATAGTTTGTGTGAGAAAAAAGGGGTGAAGATGGCTCCTCCCTAATAGTTCTCAGAGTATATGTTTTATAGTGCAAATAGTTTGCTTTAATTTGCCAAGATTTCAGTCTACAGGTAAGGAACAGTAAAGAAGTCTGCTTAGAAGAAAGGCAACATGTCTTTCTTGGGCTTGGAGCTTGACAGCCGGAAAATGCAGAATCCTTCTGAGATTGGGCTATCTTTGACTAACATGCTGTTCTCCCACAATGTCATGTACTACTTGGAACATATGTCCCTAAAGCTAGGGAAAATATTACTCGGCTAAGTACATCGTCCTTCTCAATCAATTCCAGTTATGGTGGATTTCAGCTTCCAGAATTCCCCAGGCCTAAGTTTTTTGCCTTGTCTAAGAATTGTGTCTAAATTCTGTATAAAGTATTTGGCCATGCTAACAGTGTTCTGTGAGCCTCGACGTAGAGTCATGCTAGCCACATGACCATGGAAGCATCTTCATACAAGGCTGGCTCCCTTGGCTAGGAAACGGAGATGAGCCCTGCCCACTAGAGTTGGACACAACTGGACAGGGGAAACCTTTACTTTTAGTTTTTCTGTGTAGTAAGAGGAGGTATAGTATTTGGGGTAGAGGCTGTGGCTTTAAATCTAAGCCCATTACAAGACTTATTTTGGAGGTGTTAAGTATCTAAATACTTAAGTATATAATAATATCTAAGTATGTCAAATATTTACCAATGAGGCTTACATTTTGTACTAGCTTAACCATACTTTATGGAATAATCCAAAATTCACAATGCACAGTATCATAAACCATAACCTACCAATTGCTATTGCTGGGTTCAGGGACATTCCTAGGGAAAGCATCAACAGTGTCAAAATATGAAATCAAGCAGTACGGCTTTTAACATGCAATGCACAAATTAAAAAGAAGCGGGCCTTGATTAGTCCAGCTACTTCTGCCATTTTGATGCTGTTAGGCCCCCTGCGGATATCACTGGCTGGGTTGCCATAACATGAAACCAATCATATTTCTCCATCTGCTAGCTGTAATCTTATTCTCATTTCCCTGGGAGAAAATCCCACTGAAATATGAGTAAAAGTACTCCTCAAGTTATGACCGTACGGTAGCCTGCCCATCATGGTTGTAACTCATGATGGTCATAAAGCAGGTCAGTCAGATGGCTTTTTTGCTGTATTCATTAAGCGAACACATGCTGTGGTCATTATGTGAATCAATGCTTCACTGTGGGTGGAGTTTGGCCAAAAACCAGAAGTAAACGCAGAGCTTGGGCAAAACCACTACAAAACAGGGTCACATGATCACAGACTGTTGCAAATTGCTGTAAATGTGGCGCGGGTGCCAAGCACATGAAATGCGGTCATGTGACCATGGGAAGAAGTGACTGTTGGAACTTCAAATCCAGGTCATAAGTGCCCTCAAGTATCTCTGTCAGAACTTTTAATGGTCACTATGGGACCATTTGTAAGTCAAGAACTACCTATAAAGATGTACAGTGCAGTGTAAGTTACATTACCTTAAGCTATATTACATTATTTAAATCTGTCATCCAGATTTTGTTGCCAGCTTTAAAATGAGAAGTGATTTTCCACATGAAAAATGAATTTTAACAGCATCCAAAGGTACGTAATAAATAGCTTTGAATAGTGTCAGAAGCCAAGCAGAAGGTCTTCAGGTACTGCTCAAATAGATATAAATATCTAGATGGATATGAACTATTATGTTACCACAATGCATGACTCAGCCTGAAGTGTCAATTTATTTCATTACATTTTTCTATTTTATTTTTTTTTAAGTTGGTAAAAGATGAAAAGAAACAACTTGCTAAGCCGAAGATCCCGCTTCCAGAACACTTACAGATCCGACCTGTGACACCAGTGGAAAAATATATTAAGGTTAGATATTTGTGTAGCAGTTTCAAGTGACAGCACTTCTGAAAAACAGGACGTACTTTTTCAGAAGCCATCGAAAGTTTGAAGCAAAGGTTCAGATGCTAAGAACAAGTTTAAAGCACTCAAGATAGGGAACTGCCTTTGGATGCTCTGATTATTGGAGATTTCATTGCATAACTTTGTTGTTGTTGTTGTTGTTAATTGCGAAGTCGTGTCCAACCCATCGCGAACCCATGGACAATGTTCCTCCAGGTCTTCCTGTCCTCTACCATCTTCTGGAGTCCATTTAAGTTCACACCTACTGCTTCAGTGACTCCATCCAGCCATCTCATTCTCTGTCGTCCCCTTCTTCTATTGCCCTCAATCTTTCCCAGCATTAGGCCCTTCTCCAGTGAGTCCTTCCTTCTCATTAGGTGGCCAAAGTATTTGAGTTTCAACTTCAGGATCTGGCCTTCTAAAGAGCAGTCGGGGTTGATCTCTTCTAGGACTGACCGGTTTGAACGCCTTGCAGTCCAAGGGACTCGCAGGAGTCTTCTACAGCACCATAGTTCAAAGGCCTCAATTCTTTTGCGCTCAGCCTTTCTTATGGTCCAACTTTCACAGCCATACATTGCAACTGGGAAAACCATGGCCTGGACTATATGCACTTTTGTTGGCAGGGTGATGTCTCTGCTTTTTAGTATGCTGTCTAGATTTGCCATAGTTTTCCTCCCCAGCAGCAAGCGTCTTTTAATTTCTTGGCTGCAGACTCCATCTGAGGTGATCTTGGAGCCCAGAAAAATAAAATCAGTCACTACCTCCATTTCTTCCCCATCTATTTGCCAGGAATTGAGAGGGCCGGATGCCACGATTTTGGTTTTCTTAATGTTGAGTTTCAAGCCAACCTTTGCACTCTCCTTCTTCACCCGCATCAAGAGGCTCTTTAGTTCCTCTTCACTTTCTGCCATTAGCGTAGTATCATCTGCATATCTTAGGTTGTTGATATTTCTCCCGGCAATCTTAATTCCAACTTTTGTTTCATCTAGCCCTGCCTTTCTCATGATGTGCTCTGCATATAAGTTAAATAGGCAGCCTTGCCGGACTCCTTTTCCAATTTTGAACCAATCAGTGGTTCCGTGTCCAGTTCTCACTGTTGCTTCTTGACCTGCATATAGGTTTCTCAAGAGACAAATGAGATGGTCTGGTACTCCCATCTCTTTAAGGACTTGCCACAATTTGTTGTGATCCACACAATCAAAGGCTTTAGCATAGTCAATGAAGCAGAAGTAGATGTTTTTCTGGAACTCCCTAGCTTTCTCCATGATCCAGCGTATGTTGGCAATTTGATCTCTAGTTCCTCTGCCTCTTCGAAATCCTGCCTGTACTTCTGGTAGTTCTCGATCCACATACTGCTGGAGTCTAGCTTGTAGGATTTTAAGCATAACTTTACTAGCATGTGAAATGAGTGCAATGGTGCGATAGTTTGAACATTCTTTGGCATTGCCTTTCTTTGGAATTGGAATGTAAACTGACCTTTTCCAATCCTGTGGCCACTGTTGAGTTTTCCAAATTTGCTGGCAAATTGAGTGTAGCACTTTTACTGCATCGTCTTTTAGGATTTTGAATAGCTCAGCTGGAATACTGTCACCTCCACTAGCTTTGTTGTTGCTCAGATTTTCTAAGGCCCATTTCACTTCACATTCTAGGATATCTGGTTCGAGGTCAGTGACCATCTCATTGTGTTATCTGGGATGTTAAGCTCATTCTTGTATAGTTCTTCTGTGTAGTTTTGCCATCTCTTCTTAATCTCTTCTGCCTCTGTTAGGTCTCTGCCATTTTGGTCCTTTATCATGCCCATCTTTGCATGAAACGTTCCCTTCATATCTCCAATTTTCTTGAAGAGATCTCTGGTCCTCCCTATTTGTTGTTTTCTTCTATTTCTTTGCACTGTTCATTTAAGAAGGCATTCTGATCTCTTCTAGCTACTCTCTGGAATTCTGCATTCAATTGGGTGTATCTTTCTCTTTCTCCTTTGCCTTTCGCTTCCCTTCTTTCCTCAGCTATTTGCAAAGCTTCCTCAGACAGCCATTTTGCTTTCTTGCATTTCTTTTTCTTTGGGATGGTTTTAGTTGCTACCTCTTGTACAATGTTGCGAACTTCCATCCATAGTTCTTCAGGCACTCTGTCTATCAGATCTAATTCCTTAAATCTATTTGTCACCTCTACTGTATATTCATTAGGAATATGATTTAGTTCATACCTGAGTGGCCTAGTGCTTTTCCCTACTTTTTTTAATTTAAGCCTAAATTTTGCAACGAGAAGCTCATGATCTGAGCCACAGTCAGCTCCTGGTCTTGTTTTTACTGACTATATAGAGCTTCTCCATCTTTGGCTGCATAACTTTAGATGATGCAAATGAGTTATTGTACTCTCAGACATAAAGTTTTGTGTATCATAGCTTACTGACCTCAGTGTTAGAAAAAGATCAGAGTTGGGAGTCCTTGTCTGTTTCAGTTGCTTTTTTCAGATCTGTATAAACCAGGTGTCTCCAAACTGTTCAGTTCATCAGTGTAACAGTAGTGCATTGGAAAATCTGTAAGAAATATACCACCTACCCACAAGCAAGAACTAAAGGGAGCACAAACTAGACAAAGTAATAGAAAAGGAACAACGAAATCATTTTGTTTCAAGCTTTCATGCTTTCCTCACTTTAAGATTGCATTACATAGACCAGCATTTCCAACGCTTTCCAGATGTGTTGGATTCCAGAATTTCTAGTTAGCATGGGTTTTAGACAGAATGGCAAAGGTTTTTGAACATATTAGCTCAACATTCTGGGAGCTGAAGCTTGGGAGAGCACCATTTGGGGAAAGACCGGTCTAGATTTATTACAATTTTTATTACGGCACTTGATGAAAAGAGAACATACATTTTATAAACTAAAGCCATCCCATTAGGTTTTCTGAGAAGCAGCTCCCCAGGATCAAGCAAAACGGTTTTCTATCTGTGGAGATTTACCCTTTTTTATTGCACCGCCATGTTTACAATTAGGGAATTCCAGAGACCAGAAAACACGCTGCAGGCACATTCATGTTTCCCAAAAGTACAGGAAACATGCTTTCATTCATTGCCCTTCATTGCATCTGCAGTTTGCTTCTTGGCACAACATGTGCACTGGCAGTCTGTAAATAAAAGGGTCTGGACCTAGCTTTTCAGGGTATCGTTTACAAGAAATAGCTTGCTCATCAAAAAAATAAAAATAAACAAAAAAAAAAAACCCACATGGATTTGGGGATTAGATGGAGGACAATACGATCCGTTTAAACAGCTGTGGCTTGCAGTCGTAATTTATTTTCTCTTATGAGCATGAATTGCTGCATCTATCCCTTCCCCTGGATGGTCTAGGCAAAAAAGGCTTTAGCCCTTTTGTGCTTCCTCTGATGTGGAGCAGCATGGAGGCGTGTGGACATAATTGCCTCCATTGTTCCCCTCTGTGTGTGGCATGCCTGGCCACGAGGAGGAAAAGAAAGACGAGGCAATCCTTTCAAAGGGAAATGCTCCACCTTGATATCACAGACATTTCTCAGCTTTGGCTCAGGAACAAAGCCAAAAGGGCCTTGGCAACAGAACAAACCAAAACCTTGCTTTCTTTTGCTGTGCATTGCTGAGCAGGGTAAGTCCCCAGATGTTAAAGTGTTATGGCAGAGAGGACATTCCACATGCATTATGGAAGTAATTCAACCCAGCAAGCACAGCAGCAGGGGGCTGAGATGAAGAAGGCGCTTCAGTCTTTATTCCATGTCTCCATCTCCTCCCACACTCTTCTCTAGATTATCCATTAACCTCTTTCGTGTTTACTAAAATTGAGAGATTGGCATATTTCCCCAGCTGATGTGCTCCAGATGTCTTTGATTGATGAAGCACAAAATCCCCATGCTGTTGAGGAAGAGCCTTTGCTCACTAGCACCTCAACATGGCCTGACAACATCACATTTCTGTTGTAATCGCTTGGCACCATCTCATCCTCTGCCCCTAGAATGAGAAAGGCTAAAGTCATCCTTATGAGCTGTAGTGGCGCAGTGGCTAGAATGCGGTATTGCAGGCCAATTCTGCTGACTGCCAGAAATTCAATTCTCACCGGCTCGAGGTTAACTCAGCCTTCCATCCTTCTGAGGTCAATAAAATGAGGACCCAGATTGTTGGAGGCAATATGCTGTCTTTGTAAACTGCTTAGAGAGGACTGTAATATACTGTGTTTCCCTGAAAATAAGGCCTACCCTGAAAATAAGCCCTAACGTGATTTTGGGGGGTGGTCCTAATATAAGCCCTACCCCAAAAATAATCCCTAGTTTGGGGCTTGCACACTTAAAAATCAAGCTAGGGTGGGGGTGGGGTGTGTGGATCTGCCCCATGCACCCTGCACCCACTTACCTTGCAGCCAGGCCTCTCCTCACCAGCCCACTTCTTCTGTGCCGTCTTCTGCAGCCAGGCCTGCATTTCTCAGTCACAGGTCTTTCCAGAAAGCCGGTACAGCCGAGAACCGAGCTATGAATTCATCCATAGCTCAGTTCTGTAAGACCTCTGCAGCCGAGGACAGAGCTATGGATTCAACCATAGGCCTTCCAGAAAAGCCTGACTTCAAAATGCAGGCCGGAATCCAGCTGCAGAATGAAGCCGCTCCTTCTGTCCCAGAAGAAGTGGACCTGCTGGGTGGGGCTGTTGGTGCCAGAGGTGAGTAAGACATTCCCCAAAAATAAGACCTTTTGGAGGCAAAAAACAACAACAATCCCAATCTTATTTTCAGGGAAACATGGTAAGTCTAAGTGCTATTGCTAGTGCTGTTGCTAGCTGGATCCCAGGAAATGTGGTGTTTCCCTCATCAAACTGAGAGCATCCAACAGTCACCACGAAGTATGTAAAGTCTTTTGTGCTTTCTCGCCTTTTATTTTGGAGCTTTGTCTCATAATCAGTAAAGTAGTACTTATCGGCAAGGTGACCAATTGTGTTTATGCAATCTCCCCTTT